AAGTAATACAGATCAATGACACTGAGTCAATAGTGGAAACACAACTGAATAAAAAGATTTATAGGAATTTAACTGTGAAGGATCGATGAGGTCATGCAGGACTGGAGAAATGTTTTTCATTTCTTGATGATTTCTCCTGAACGATGGGAGGTTTTGGTCCAGCTCCTGTTTGACTCCAGGAGGTCAAATACGAAAACTGTTCGGGACAAATCGTTGAACATTTAGGAGAGTTTTAGTCTTGGTTTGTTTGTTGAAGGGTTAAAGTTTCAGAAACAAGAAGCCCAGCTGGGCTCTGTTCCAACATTTAGAATAAAGACTTTACTTGATGAAGAGTGTTGTGTGTGTGTTGATGATAAAAGGTCAGGATCAAAAAATAAAACAGGACACATCTCTCCATCCACATGAACAGAGTTTTTATATTTTTTGAGCAATAAATATTTCCACTTTTCCATTTCTCTGCAGTTTCAAAAACAAAGTACAAGTAATATATATTTATATACACAGCTAAAATCTTCCATACATAATTTTAAAATAATGTCGTCTCTGTTGGACACATATTTGACACTTTACTCGTACAATTTTACAAGGACTATTGCAGTCTCTCTACATTATAAACAAGAAATATCTTTATTCCATAAAGTGGTCCGTTAATTTCTTCAGAAACAACTGAGACCCCCTGTTCACCGTTATTCGAAATGGTACACACAACAACACACTGCCTTCACCGTGGGAACAGAAAGGTCCGAACGTCATCAGAACCGGTTCTGATGAAATGTTTCCTGGTTTTCCTGCAGAGTTCGGACCAGAATCTGTTTGAGACCAAAAGCTTCAGTTCCCAAAGAAAAGCAGCCACAGACAGACAAAACTCCCGCCGTGGAGCGAGGCGCCGACTCGTTAGTTTTCATTTAATGATTTCTGTACATTCATGTTTATAATACAGGTCATTCAGTGCAGATACTGGAATAAATACACATGCAAACTGAGAGCGGAGCAGGCCAGGGCACAAAAACAACTTTTTAATTAAGGTTAGAAAGGTCCACACCAACGTTTCTGTAGGTTCTTTAACCCAAAATAATGTCAGTTTGTTTTTTACTTTTTTTACCTTTAAGACTGATTCACCAGGCAACAAAGAAAACAGATCAAAGTTTGATTATTTGAGAATTAAATGTAGATTTTTCTTCATAAATCCAGAACTGGGTGTACAGTAACTGTTTCAGATCTAAAGTTGTACATTTCAGTAGATGTGAAAAAGCATCTGCTCCTCAGCAGCTCTTAAACAAATCAAAGCATAAAAGAAAAATGTTTCAAAACTGGAAGCAGCTTCTACAGGATGTCAGAGGACCAGGTGAGTTCTTCTAAACATCCTGAAACATAAAACGTTAGATCTGAAAAGGTCACAAATAATCTTTTTTTTTTACCTTCAAATGGTTTTAAAAACAAAATAAAACCAGATTTGATCAAACACCAAGAGGTGTACAACAAACCATTTCTATCCAAACCAGTCCAGATCATATTAAAAGTTTAGACTTTCTGCAGATTATATCWAATATTTGATGGAGTTGATTGAACATGCAGAAGCAGGGGTGTGGAGCTTTACGGTGGATGTGTTGGATTGTTTTGGACATGCACTGAAACTAAAGAACTGGGGTGTTCTCCTTACGAGGTAGCTTTGATCCAGTGCTCCTTTAAAAACCAGTTTTTCTTTCATGAGGGGATGTTTCAGTTTATTCTTGAGCGAATGTGATGAGTGTAAGGCCTGTGTAAAAAGGCAAAGTGTTTCTGATACACGGTGCAGACCTCACGGTCCAGAACTCCAAGCAGCAGTTCTTCGTGTCGCTCGCTGCCGATGTTGGCTGAAGGCTTGATGCACAAACGCTGTGGGCTGAATGCAATCATATCACAACTAGTTTTTAGTCACAGATCACCGTTGGTGTTGTAAACATATTAAAAGTTAAAAAATAAAGTTTCAGTATTTCCATAAGATGCTCAAATAAAAAGAAAATCACATTTTAAGCACATAACAAAATCAAAAAATGCTAAAAATACAGAACAGCCCAAGGAGTACGTCATGTTAGTAAGAAGCTCGTCACACAACAATATTAATATCAGAGCCTTTTAAAAAAGTCAAAAGTCTTATTTCACCGGGCGACGGCAGTTATGAACACAATTCATGAAGAAGTTTCCAAAATATTTCAGAACATTTTCAGGTTTTTCAGTTTCTGTGCTTGAGTCGCTAAAACTTTGCAAATGTTGGAGAAAGGCACAACAAATTTCCTACAGAAGTCAGAGAGTCATCGCTGGCTTCTTCAACTCTTCTCAGATTAGTTTTTGAGTCAAAGTGTGAGAAATGTTTGACAACTTTGGGAGAGTTTAGCAACTGATTAAATCAAACTGTTACAGATTAGAAACAAAACTTGGTCTGTTTTGTTTCTGCCTTAAAGCTGCGCCTAGTTTAGGATTTTATCTTCTGGAGTTTATTTTAGAAACAAAGGTCACCGTTGGTGGGACGCAAACATTAACCAGCCTTTAGATGGGCACTTTCTGTGGACTTTAGGCATCGGTTTCAAGCCCAAACAGCATCTGGTGTAAAACTTGTTTCAAAACAAACATGCAGATCAAACACAGTCTCACTGGTATGTACAAGTACTTTAACGATTTGTATGTCTGTCTTAGCTGATATATGACTGTCTCATCCCATGGTACGACTGTCTTATTGGATCTTAAGGCTGTCAAATGGATGGTAAGACTGTCTAATCAAATGGTACGACTGCCTTATCTCATGGAGTGTCTTATTGGACGGTACAAATGCCATATCAAATGGTATGGCCGCCTTATCGAATGGTACGACTGCCTATCGAATGGTACGACTGCCTATCGAATGGTACAACTGTCTAACGAATTGTACGACTGCCCTAACGAATTGTACGACTGCTTATCGAATGGTACGATGGTCTTATCGAATGGTACGACTGTCTATCGAATTGTACGACTGCCTATCGAATGGAACGACTGCCTATCGAATGGAACGACTGCCTATCGAATGGTACAACTGTCTAACGAATTGTACGACTGCTTATCGAATGGTACGATGGTCTTATCGAATGGTACGACTGTCTATCGAATTGTACGACTGCCTATCGAATGGTATGACTGCCTATCGAATGGTAC